CAGTCAAGTGGAATTTTTTGACTCTGTTTTCTTTTCCTTGGAAAAAGGTAAATGCATATCTATCTTCCTACTTCACAGGGAAGTGTCTGTTCATGTCTGGTCTAAGTAATGAACAGCTGAACCACATGGATGACCACACCTTGCCACATAAATATGGGATTGGATTTACAAACATGGTTGAAAGGACAACACCTGGAAGCAAAGACCTCTCCAGGTAAGATAATAAAAGGAAATATCAGGCTTGTTAATGAATTAATAGTTGTGATTATAATTTTGAATATTTTGTCTTTTAGCAAAGAGTTTCGGGAAGGAGGGAGAATTCTGATGCAGAAGCTACAAAAGTATAAACCTCGTATAGCAGCTTTTAATGGAAAATGTGAGGAACTTATACTTTTAAATGAATTTTTTTCTGCCAGTAGCTTTTTTTTTTTTCACTTATCCTATATTTTCATTTTAGGTATTTATGAAATTTTTAGTAAAGAAGTTTTTGGAATTAAAGTTAAGAACTTGGAATTTGGGCTGCAGCCACACAAAGTGCCAGATACAGAAACTGTAAGTATTGAGACTGAGAAACAAAACTAGGGCACTCCATATTGATTATTTAAAAATTAATGAAATCTCAGGCTTTGCACACACTTGGGATTATACCAGTTTGACCAGAGTACAAGAGGTGTGAAAGGTTTTTACTTAGAGAAGGGGGAGTAATGCAGTTTGTGGACACATCTTTAATGCAGCTTCTTCAGCCTTGCAGACTTCTTTTGAGAAATGGCTTGTTATGGTTCGTAGGTTGGTGCATTCTCTGAGGACTGCGTAAAATACAAGTAATACATGCCTGCTTTTATGATAATTTTCATCTGATCCCCTGTGTCCAATTCCCTGGGTATTTGTATTACTGGATTTTGATACTGACCGTGACCATGCAGTGCCATAGTGGGGGAGAAAGAACAGCAAGTCCATCCTTATGCTACTGCACATGACCCTTCAGCATTGCTGGATCTGGGCATGCCCAAGCTCTTCTGTCAGACTAGGTCTCCTTAACTTCCTGCAGTTTGAAGTTAAAGTTGGTGCTTAAGATAAAACAAGCAATTTGATGAAGAGTGCATTAGTCATAGAACTCTAGTGCTGGAAAATATCTCAAGAGACCAGCTATGTATTATTAATAATTGGATTGTTTAATGTGTTCTTATAAACAAGTTAAAGCAAAGGTGATTACACTGCTTGCCAAGGTAGCTTATTCTAAAGCTTCATTACCTTGTCAGTTCAAAAGTTTGGATTGTTTTTCTTCTTATTTTTATCCTCAATTATTAGTGCTGCAAGTTTCAGCTGCCTTTCTGTAAAGGTGGAAGTGTTGCCATTAGAGCATGAAAAATCATTGGATAAAGTATTGCTCCTTAGGTAGCTCTTAAGGACTTCTACAGTAGATGTATTTGTAAGAAAAATAATCCCCTTTACTGGTACTTGTTCATGAAGACTGAATGGTAATAGAAGTATTGAATACAGTTTATTTTTCTTGAACTAACTTGATATCTTTAGTTAGGGCTGTAGGCAGAGGTAGAAACACTGAAGCTGGCTCCAACCACACTTAACAACAATTTCACACCCTGGCGTACATCATGCAGATGCACTTTGCCAGTAAGCCAGGCTAATTAACCTGTGGTGCTTCCCTCACTGCGTTGGGATCTTTGCATGCTATCATGTACTCCTCTATGCCCTGGCTCAGAGCTCTGCTTGTTAAGGGAGTTCTAGAGTATGCTCTGCTCTCTTGTAACACACATGTTGTTGCTTCTCCTGCAGCACATAAATAACTGGTGAAAATTGCGCCCTTAGCAGCTGGTAATCAGCCCTGTCTTCAGGGCAAGACAGATGGCTGGCCAAGAAAAATGAAAACTCATTTTAGCCCCTTCCACAACCACCTGTGGCATTAGTTGAAGTTTGTACAAATAGTTAGAACAGTTAAATTGTTCTGAATGCACTAAGTATTAACTCATAGCTCGGGGATCAGTAATGCTTTTTTTCTTGGTCTTTGTCTCAAGCTCTGCTACGTTATGCCATCTTCCAGTGCAAGATGTGCTCAGTTTCCTCGGGCACAAGATAAAGTCCATTATTACATTAAGCTGAAAGACTTAAGGGATCAACTGAAAGGCATCGCACCCAACATGGAGGTCCAGGAAGTGCAGTACACATTTGACTTGCAACTTGCACAAGGTATTGTTTTTATTTTGTTAACACTTCATTAAAACGTATTGTAGTGTACAATACTAGCAGTTTCCCAAGCAGAAAGAAATAAAGAATTTTTTAATGGGGAGATGTGATTCACTAAACTGTGTGGTATAGAATTATAGATTCCATTCTCTATAGTACAGCCTACATTTTTTAAGGGGAGCAGGTAGAATCTTGTAGAATTTGTGGCTTTTCCGATAAAAGTCCTCTTTGATAGTTTTTATTCTAAATATTAATGCTTGAGCTGCTCTGTTTGTGCAGAGGATGCTAAAAAGATGGCTGTCAAAGAAGAAAAGTATGACCCAGGCTATGAAGCAGCGTATGGAGGAGCTTACTGTGACCGTGCGCTGTATGACACTGACCAGTGCAGCTTGTCTTCAAATGGAACTGGTAAAGTACTTGGGGCATTCAGTCTGCAGCCATTGCTGGGGAACAAAGAGCCCATGGTGTCAACTGCCTTTAAAAATTGTGTGATTTTTGTTTGTTCAGCAGGATGCAATCCACAGTACTGCAAAGGGTTGTCCTTCAGTGAGGTTCCTAATGGACAGTGGATGACACAGTCCTTTGCAGACCAGATTCCAGAGTTCAATGCTGGCATGACACAGGAAGAAGAGGGAAGCAGCGTGTAGGAGCTGTTTCTTCTCGGCTATGCACACATGCTGCAGTTTTAATGCAGTGATCAAGATTGGTACCTCAGTTCTCCAACTGAAGCATCTCAATAGTATATTATTTCCCCTAGTTATTTTATTGTAGTCCAAAGTAAGTGTGTGGTAGGCTGAAATCAATGAACTAGATAATTTTAAGGAACTGTCCAAACTTTTTAAAAAAAGTTAGCCCTTTTTTGTATATGAGTTTTATATTTAACGTATACCATTTCTTCCGTTTTAACAAATTGCTTTCTCATTTGTGAAGATTTCTTTGGGGTGTTAATTTTATTCCATAAATGGCAACGTGGTAGGAACAGCAGCAGTATACTTTTTACTGATGCCTCAATATTTGGGTATCTCTTAATACTTTTATATCCAGAGGGGAAAATGGAAAATGTACCCTTACCTTGTGTGAAGCAGTGTTTTTAATCATGCACAGTTATGGAAATGGTGCTTTTTAAGACTGCCTTTTACTGTCTTAAAAAGTGTAGAAAGTTGTGTTCTGCAGCTATGGGTGCTGTCTTCTGGGTGGAATGAGAGAGCTCTTGTCTGTTCAGTGAGTGTACCATAATTGAGGATGAAGGGAGTGAAGACATCATCTCAAGTCACAACACTGGGGAGGAAAACTTGTGTCACACAGGACAGGGCCTAAATATTCTAGCTGAGCTCTCTTAGGATAAGGTTTTTCTACCACTCCATCTCTTTCCCCCTTAAATTCCAATGTAAGGAACTAGAATTGCTTTTAAAAAAAAGCAAAAACAAAGAGCGGTGGTAGTTCTTGAATTCTGCGTTATTAAACTCCATCATTTCCAAAAAGTTAGTCCCTTTGCCTGACCTTTAGCAGGAGCCAACCCCTTTGAATAAGACAGAGAAGTGAAAGACTGCTTTCTCTTTAAAAGTCATGTACAGCTATGTTATTTACATCATGTACAATTAGCACTGGGTGAAATAGATTTTCAGTTTAGCAGTTTTTAACATTAAGCTCTCTTCAATCTGTTCTACCTCTTAGAGGGTGTTCCCTTTATTCTACTTAAAAACACTGAATTGAATACAGGGACAGCTGTTCCATGAATAAGAAGCTGTCTGTAGAAACTATAACTCTCTTCTGAGGAACTTACCTAAATGATACACAATTTTGGCCAATATTAGTGAATGAGAAAAATAAAATTAATCCTGGTGCCTAACTCATCTTCGTTCCCTCTTTTATCATGTGAGGAAAAGATGAAGTAAAAGCAATAAGCTGATCAAAACACTAAAGTTTTGATGATCTTATGACATTTGGTGCTTCATATACTTGAAAACAGACACAAACAGTATCTCCACATTCCATGCTGGTCAGAGATTCCTGTACCAGTGTGATTTATCCTCTCTTCACAGCTAGTGACAGTTGTCAGTTGTGTGTAACTGGTTAATGTAGGTTCTAATCCTGCTGTAACACCTCTTACAGAGATCACACACTGTCAGCCTGTTGTGAGGCAGCCGTGTTTACAGTTTCTTCCAAAATTATGTGGGTTAATTCTGAGAATCTTCAATCAAGTGAGTGTGCATTATGATTCTGATTGTGTTTATTAGTTGCAGCAAAAAGCTATTCCACATATTGTCAGAAAGGTATAGGACTTGTCTGTTATTTAAAGTGTACTGAATCATGTATTGCTGTTTACATGGATGTTTTCCTGCAGGTGCTTGAAGTATCTTGCATCAGGGATTTGTTTAAATTTAGTTTTATTTTCAATAAAATTAGAAGCATGAAATTAGCACTGCTGCATATGTAGCACAGTAGGATGCAAGTCCTGAAAGGCTATCCTGTTTGATTGGAAGGGAAAGGTCTCTTCCTTAATGGAATCACCCACTTGGTTATCTCGCTATAAAATACAGTTGAGTGTGCAATGACCATTCCACTAAATACTGCAGTTCTGTGTCCTTCCTCAAAACTGGTGCTCTTTTTGTTACAGTGATACAGAAGTTCTTAATTTGTCTTAAGTCTATCAATGTTTCACAATAAAATCGGGAATTGTACTTCAGTGTATTGGAATGTATTTTGCATCTTGCTAAGTGCACTACAGGATCTGTTATACACAGAGATGCCACAAAATAGTCACCCCACAACAGAACACAGTAACATCTGCCCAGGCTTTCAATTCAGGCTGTTTAATGTGGGCTAGATAACTAAACACTTCTTGTACATAACACCGCAGCTATCTCCTGTGTAGATTTTTTCCTATTAGAAGACACTGGAATCTTACTTAGAAAGACCTTAAATTAAAGCACTCTTTCTAACACTGAATTTCACCTCTGTAAGTGTTTAATGAAAATACTTCATTGTCAAATACATATGTTTCCTCACCTTACGTGAGAGTCAAGATAATCTGAACTGTGTATTGGTCACTCCAGCCTCCCTCAGCTGCCATAAGCACAGAAAACTGATGGTCAGTTATTCATATTTTTAACAAATACTTTGTTTTCTAAAATCAACCAATCATACAACATGTTGCATCTCAAACTATTAAATGCGTCCCATACACTATGTTATGCAGTATTTCAGTATCAGCTGTCAGGACGAGTTAATTTGAACTTCCCTAAGGGGTCAGGAATAAACCAGTTTTCCCAGAGATCAGTGTGGACACTGGGGTAGTCCCAAGGTTTGTATCTCCCATTCCAGTGAAGTAATTTAGCTTCTTGAAGAAATTGTTCTGAGTAACGGGCATCAGGACTCCAACCTACATGGGTAGATTAATAAAAAAAAAAAAAATTTAAAATGCAATTTTTGATAATGGAAGACACTGTAGAGTGAATCAAATTCAGGTGAGTTTTTTCAGAAATCTGATTGGTATGCTTTCATGTTAGTTTACAACTAGTTGTATGATACAGCAGCTTTTTTCAGCTTGATGCCTCATACTGCATCAGCAAAATCTCTCAGCAAGTTTTATCTCTCAACACTTTTAACATCTTGGCATAGCTGGGATTAAAAACAAAGTAAAATCTATTCATTTTACCATACCAGCTAAGCCATTATGTTTTTCCTAGGGTAATTCACCACTCCCTAGGTGAAAGGTAACTACATCCTCCAAAATGTGGACAACAAACACTGCCAGGTCTCCCCTTTTCTTCTACTGCACCTGACTGTTTTTCAGTCTCACTATATTCAGGTATTTCATGTTCTTTCCATGTAAGTGGCACATAAGGTAAAGCCACCTAAGGTCTTGCACTGGAATCTCACAAACTCATCTTAGTTCCAAGTTGCAAACAGTGAGAAATTCAACTTACCAAGATGCCTTATGTGCCACATAGGATTAATAGAGGAATATTTTCCATGAAATACAATCAGCATTGGGGAGGTTGCCACACCTCCCCCAAGGGTACTGCTATAGAGGTTTTCCCTGCAAAAGGAAACATAAAAGAATATGTTCAAAACCCCAAGGAATCTTTAGTACAAAAGGCAGATTAAAAATAAGTATCTGGCAAGAAGGAAATACTCCTCCTTCTTTAAGCTAGCCTCAGGAAGGGAAGATCATTCAGTGGCTTCATCCTAGGCTAAGTTGGTCACCCAAAATGAGAACAACATGTTCTCAATGTCCCTCAGGATTAAGTGTGGTTTGTGATTGAACACAAGACTAAAATTCCAAGTGGCCATTTTCAGATGGAATTGGCCATTTTCACTTGGAATTGGTCAGATTTAAACAGATGGAAATGCTGGAACACGAGTTACTTCACTTGACAAGAGCTCAAAAGAAAGACTGCTTGGAGTTAAAAAAAAATGTAAGAGCTTTTAAATGTAAAGTAAAACTGTTAAACAAGTATTAAAAGTAAAGTGCGAAGCTAGATTTCTACACATACTCTACATTTCTTTGCATCCACTTTTCCAATTGCTGTGTGATCCGTTGATGTTTCCATTCAGTCATGTTACCAACAATTACTCCAGGATTAAAGGAGCAGGTGCTGGGGCTGATGCCAAGATCTCTAATGGCTTGCTTTCTGTAGTCCAGGAATCCCATGTATGTATTCTAAGAAATAAAAAAAGTATGTTGATCCCCTATGAATCTCTGTAAAGATACCTGTAAATGCACCTCACTCTCACTGAGGAGATTAAATATGCTTTTCCCAAGATATGTTTCTAGATGGTGGTTACCTGTCATTATTTCTGTATGCCAAGGCTGTAAGGCAGGATACTTCCAGATATTAAATTACTTTTTCCACAATATTGTACCATGGAAGTTTGATAAGCCTTTTCTCTTGTTATGTTTGTCTTTTGGTAGCCCACATTAAATCATGCAGCATCACAATTGTACCAGTACAAAAAGTCCTTAATTACCTGTACTATTAAAAAGCTATCTATATCTATATATATAAAACTTTCACTTTGGGGAAAACACATAAAATCATTCTTACCTTTATGGGCAAACAAATCCGTTATTAGAATTCCAGAATGGCATCTTACCTGCATCCCTACACTTCTAACAATTTCATGTGTAGAAGGCAGATCACAATCATCTGAAAAAGCTGCTGCATGTCCAGGAGCTAACTTAGTATCGTAGAGTTCCTGGATGTCACCTGATTACAGAAAGGTCACAAGCATGAGACAACACCCACTGCACTGCTGCAGAGCTGATAGGATAACATCAGCTCTCATATCTTATAAACACACCAGTTTTAAGGATAGCCCCTATTGAATTTTGTAATATGGTGTCCTAGGGTGACTTTATGATGCTTTTATCCCCAATCATGTGTTCTGTTCATGCTGGATATTCTATTCTGTGCCTTCAAAACTGGCTCTCAGAGCAAAGGCAGGGAGAAGAAGCACAAAGTTTTTGTTATCAGCCTCACTCACTCACTCCTCCACATTCGGCTGGACTGTTGATATCTGCGCACGGATGAGGCAGAACATCGTGCTCCTTTTGCTTTTTAGTTAGTTAGTTTAGCTAGCTGAGGCAGTCTGAGCTTTCCCTGGACTGTTTTTCTTTCCCTCTTCTCGGAACCATTCAAACCTGCTCCAGACCAGGACCCGGGAAAACATCAAGAACACTTTCCAGCCTGCCGGGACCCACTCTGCAGCCTTTTCCAGCCCCAGAGGGACTGATAACAGAGCAACCACCCACTGGAGAGACTTTCTGAATTTGTCGTCTCTTCAGAGCAGTGAATGAGTTTCATCATCCAGTATTGTTCATTTTGTGTGCTGGGGAGTGCTTTGCCTGTTAAATGAACAGGTTCTTTCCAGTTCTCTCTGAGGAATCCTTCCCGAACCAGTTGTAGGGAGGGGCCCCCTTTGGAGGTTTTCTCCCAAATTTGCTCTAAACCAGGACATATGGGACCATTTCCAAATTTGCATTTGGATACGTAAGGTCTATCTTTAGATAGTATCATTGGCATTCAATACATTCATATTGTTGTCCAAAATCAGCTACAGAAGAAGCCAACAGGACTGTTAAAAAGCCTGGTTACAAACTTATGCATTCATAGACCTTCTCTATGGAGAGGGAGGGCAAAGGCAATTTTTCTGAGCCTCTTCAAGTCCCACAAAAGTTCCACTTCAGTGTTTTGCACAGATGAGGTTTTTCCTGTTGTTATGGTGTACTTATCTCCTAGGAAGATACCTGGATTCCCAGCAATGGTTGATTGAGATGTGTCTGTCTGTTGACCGTCCCTGCTGGCTTCACAGCCCACCCAGCTCCTTTTTGGTGGAGGGAAACATTGCAATGCCTGGCACCTCACTCATCACCTGACTGTCAGGTACCCAAGATGTGCCAGGATAGTTTCAAGGCAGGTGGGAAGCAGAACACTCCCACAGCAATCAAGTGATCCTGCATCCCAACCCCTTACAGCTTCCAGTTTTACTTTTGCTTTTATCTCTTTTACTTTTTGTACTGCTGGTCTTCTGCCAGGTCAAACAGCTGAATCAGCTCCTTCTGCAGCTGCACAACTGCAGCTTACACACATAAAAGGAGCTGTATGGGGACAGGAAAGGCCACTTGGTCAGCAGCAGCCTACCATGAGGTTTGATGTGAAACTACACCTTTATCCTGCAGCTCCACAATTATCATCAGCTGACACCCTCAGGGAAAGGGAGAGCCCTGTGCTGGTGAACACAAGTGCAGGGAGGGGTGACGTGGGACTGGTTGGCTCAGCTGGAGCTGCTCTTGAAACTGGAGTCTAAATGAAGACCTGGAACCTTTCAAAGAGTTAAATATTGCTGCTGCCCATTGATGACAGATAGAACAACAAAACCAAAAAAAGCAGAGATTGCCACTGGAAACGCCTGTATTGGAGAACTGTGATAGGAAGTCTATGGCAAATTAAAATGAGACAGAACAGAGTAGTTGTCTTTTACAAAGCAGCAAATAGTGACCCATTTAAGTGCAGGTTGTCTGAAATCTGCCTCTAGAGAGACAAAACTATAAAAAGGTGCAGAAAAGCAGTGGAGAATTATACTTTTGCCATGTGCAAATTCACTGGTCTTAGTGTTCTTACAGCAAAGACTAATAAAGGCCCAAAAATTTATTGTAGCTATACTCATTCCTTCCAAAGGAAATTTTGCTTAGTTGCCCACCAGGGTTAAAGCACAACACTCTGGTTAAAAAGTGCTTTAAAGTTACAAGAAAATATGATAAAACAAATATGAAGACAACAGCTCTACAGAGAAAAAACCCCAACGACTTGGAAACAGAACAGAAAAAACTCACAGGAAATTAATCTTTAGAAAGATATCAAAAGAGATCACTTTAGATGATAAGAAAAAAATAAAATATTTTTTCAGGATTTGAATGCCTTCTAAGTGCTCCCATTTGACTAGGAAGTCTAAAATCTTTGTGATTCTGCAAATTGCTTTACATTCTGAGCTGAAGATGCTCAAAACCATATTTTGAATGTTTGGAGCTTCCATCCACTTTTTGACTAAATTTCTCTTGCTCTCAAGAACAGCAATTCTGGATAAGGAATTGGTAGCACTTGTGGGAATTTAAATACCAGAAAGAAATGCATGTCACACACTTAATAGACATTGCAGCTTCTGAGTGAAATCTATGGTATCTTCTAGCAATTGTCCAGAATCAATTAAAATGAAACCCACATACAATTTTGATCAAAATTATTCAAAATATATGCAGGTAAGTTCTTCCTCAAACTTTCATTTAAACAAACAGATTATTTGTAGTTTCCCCAACACTCCTAGCAGCTGCCTCAGTTTCTATCTCATAATTCCAAATGGCTGTAAAAGCTGCAATAACTTGGATTTTAATTCTGTTAGAAACTGGTTTTTAACAGCTTACCTTGAACAATGACATCATCATCCAAATATATTACTTTCTCATGCTTCTGGATAAGCAAAGGAAGATAAAATCGAACAAAGTTCAGCTATTAAAGAGAAAGAAAAGGTAAAGATTAAATGGTAAAGCTGCTTATTGCAGCAGTCTAGGCTTCTGTCTCTATTAAGTCAGTTGGAATTTCTCTCTTTATTGAGCACTAATCAGTGACCATTTGCTTCTTCTCCCATAGCTTTACTGCTTTCTCAAATCTGGTATTATTACTATTATTGCTGTTATTACTTATCCACTGTGGCCCTAACCATGCAACTCAAATATGTTGCTTCCTCACAGAATCCTTTAGGCTGCAAGGGGCCTTTCGAGATCCTCTTGTTCAACCCCCTTGAGTGGGCTCAGCTGCAGCCGAGCCCACTCAAGCAGGCTGACAGGGACCATGCCCAGTTGGGTTCTGAGTATGTTCACAGATGGAGACCCAACAGTCTCTCTGGGCAACCTGAGACTTTTAAACTCATGCTTTAAAAAGCCTTTTCTTTAGCTCAGAGGGAATTTCATGTTATTTGTGCCCATTGTCTCTTGTTGCTCCCCTCAAGTATTTACACACATTGATAAGACCCTCCTGAATCTTGTCTTCTCCGGACTGAAACAGCCTCAACTCTTTCAGCCTCCCATATAAAAGATGCTTCAGCCTCTTAATCATCTTTGTAGCCCATGTCAGTAAGCTCATATCTTTCTTATACTGGTGGACTCAGAACTGGGCACGGCACTTTCAGATGCAGCCTCACCAGTGCAGAGCAGAGTGGAAGGAGCACCTTTCTGGACCTGCTGCCAATGTTCTTCCTAGTGCATTTTTACAGCATACATCACACCAAACATTTAAAAATTTAATAGTACCATCAATTCACTATAAAGGAATTATTTGACTAGTGACAGAGACATGGGATAACTTCTACAACAGCAATGAAGAACAGAGCAGAGGGAAAGGGGACTGAGAATGTAAGAACAACCATAAGAATTCAGATAATTTTACCCAGCCCCTGCCTTCAGAGTGGTCCTAACTGGATGCTCAGTGAAAAATAAAAATAGAGCAAGCACGCAGAATAGTTGCTCCATGTATTCTCCTAGCTTTCAACTATTTTCAGCTCAAGGGATTTTCTGATCTAGGTGTGATCTAAATATGAACTTCGATCCTAACTGAACGTCTGTACATTTTTACATCCACCAGACCTTTCAGCAAGGAATTCTACAGATGCAGTAATCATTGCATGAAAAGTGTGCAACATCTCTTGTTTATGCTGTCACTCTGACTAATTTCATCTCATGGTCATTGGCTCTTGCATTGGAAGAGACATATATGCACACCTCCTCCATGAAATGGAACAGATCTAGGACATTTTTAAGCCCATAATAAGTATTAAAAACCTCAATAATTTATTCTGTGGTGTTCATTGACTCACAGGCTGCAGTAGCTCAGGACGTGATGCATCTTGTCTGATTTTTCCTTTTAGTACCATAGGATTGAATTCCACAACCTTAAATTTAATTTCTTTCAGTTTAGAATTTTCAATCCATTTTCTGTGATGGAAAGAAAATAAGTAATAAAAGAAATATCAAGTACATGGCAAGTACTTCCAGCATTAAATTCACAGACATTTAGGAGAATAATAAGAGACCTTAAAATCTCACTTGATCTATTCTGTCCCAAGACAGAATCCCTTATGTCTACAGCTATTGCACATAGTCCTTTGTTAAACTTGTTCTTAAAATACAAAAAATCCCCACAAAACCTCAATAAAACAAACACCCCATACCACTCCCCAAACCAGAGACTCCATATGTAGCCCAAACAAGTAATCTTTCACCATTACTTCCAATAAACTATATTCTTCTAAGTTTTTTTGCTATAATTAAAGATTATAATTTCTTACCCTATCTATAGTGCTTTTAAAGCTGAGGTTAGTCTTCACCCTTTCACAGCTTTATGTTCTTTCAGATGACTTCTACATCACCTCCTAATTATGTTTTCTTTAGACTAAACTAATTTTCTTTTCATCTTTTTGTCAGATTTTTTATCACCACTGTTTATTTTCTCTCCTAACACAAAGTGCGGGTACAAAGGGGACAGAAGTGAAGTAGCCAGAGGTGAGAACTGCTAAGAAATGTTTTAGTTTGCATTCACAACTTGGTCCTCTTCAAGACAATGTTTGCAAATTTGAATGCTGAAACAAAATGAACTGAAACTTCATGAAATTACATTCATTGAAATGTCAGGATATAATTTCCTCTCATGAAATGAAGAATTCTCATTTATGAAGGAAAATAAATAACAAATCAAGGAATGAAATGAAATGAAGAGACATGAAATATAATTAAATGAAAAAAGAAGAAAACTATGTAATGAAGTGAAACAAGTGAAAGGGAATAGAATGAAATGAAGTGCATTGAAATGAGATGAAACCTCAAGAAATTATATTCATTGAAATATTGAGATTTCATTTCCTTTCATGAAATGAGGAATTTTCATTTCAGGAAGGGAAATAAAATGAGAAAAGATGGATTAAAGCAAAAAGGATAGAAAGGAAAGGAAAATATACTGCAGTAAAATTGAGGAGAAGAAAATTCTGAAATTAAGTGAAAACAATTAAATTGAATGTAATGAAGTGCTGTGAAATGAACTGAAATTTAATGAGATGAATATTCACTGAAATCCTGAGGTTTCATTTCCTGTCGTGAAAGAATTCTTATTTCATGATAGGAAATGACATGAGAAATTAAGGAACGAAGTGAAATGGAAAGAAAATCATCACAGTACTTTTTGGGCCTCTTTTTAGAACTTTAATACATCATCAACAGAAATTAGCTTTGAACAGCAAGTTTTTTCTGCTCTGAAGACTCAGCACCAGAAGAGAGGTAAGTGCAGTGGCACAAAGTGGGATTGTGACAAGCCGGCAGTGTATCCTTACCTCACTACAGATTCTTCTGCAGCCTAACTATCAAAACCTAAGAACAGGCATGGCATGGTCTGGTTATTTCACACCTCTTTGCATGAGTCAGTGCCTTGTAGAGGACAAAGTGGTCCTTTTTCCATCACATACAGAATCCTGGGGGTTGCTCCCAATACTACTAGATTTCCCTGAAAAGTCCTCTGAAGTCCAAAAGTGGTTATGCCTGTGCTAGGAGGAACAGCAACATGGCTCTAACTACAGCCCAAAACAAAGCAAGGCTGGTGTGTACCGAATGTGTGGGATGGTTGTCTTCAGCCCAATGATGTAGAATAAAACATTGGCTTCTGTGTTGCTGTAGATGCTGCTGATTGCTGCTACAGCTGCACCCATCCTGCCTGCAGCAGCGCAGATCACCACTGGGATTTCTTCCCCCATTTCCTCAGGGTTCTCCAAATCCACTACAAGAAACAAACCCATTTTGTTTGACCCACAATCAGATCTGAGTCACAAAAATGAGTAAGTACTACCATAAGCAGTGGAATCATTCTATCACCACTCCATTTTTCCTTACCACATCCTACACACATTCCCATCTCGCAAGGCACACAGCTTGAGCTGTTGCTAATCCAGAACCAGTTGCAGGTTGACTGGACTGTTGGATGCCTCCAAATAGAATAAATAAAAGAGTTCTCAGAATCTTCTACTCAGCAGGGGCAAAATTTAGCCTGTCCTTCATGTAGCTGCTTATTCATATGAAATCTGGAGAGGTTTGAATACCTTTGAGACTTCCACTTCTCAGTTATATTTAGTACAAATTGAACAATAGGTTCCAAAATTATCAAAGGAAGGAGCTAAGTCAAAGAGACAGTGTAATTGCATGAGCTTCACTTTGGCAAGCTGGCTTGAAAGGAAGAGTGCAAAAATTTATACCAGCAGGAAGTTGCTAATGATATAAGGGAAAAAACCCTAAACTACACTGAATCAGGTCACATTCCTGCTAAAGATTTATATCCCTGATTAGCACTGATTAACTTACAGAACTTAAACAGATATAACTGTACTGACTAAAACATAACAATTACAGTCATAACAACCCCAACAAAAATATATTGAAAATAAATGATTTATATCAAGATAGAGTTTGTTTACCTTGGCAGCAGTGAGTCAGCTCTTTATATAGATACTATATAAATAGCTTACTACATTTAATACTAGTCCAACATAATTAACCTAGCAGGTTTTTGTCACTATAAAAATTTCAGCTAAAACTTCTGCTGTAAATATGAAGATTTTATGGTCTATCTGAAATGAATAATCAAGCCAAGAACATTCCCAAAGAGGCAGGGCATGATCAAAGTTTATTACCTCCTCCAATCTGTTCAGCTCAAGTAAGGATATACTCCAGCATCCATCTACGTCAGTGACAGCTGGATAAAAACTTAATCAGAATTACAGCTCTTAGTCATCAATATCAATCTCCTATAATTTTATTCAAGTAATTCAGAAGCAAAATGCTTTTCATTACAGACTATAAGCAACAGTGTGAGTAGTTCATCTACTGCAGGACATTCAGTAAGGTGAAAAGTGCTGTTCAAGTTAAAACATGAGGAATACAAAACAGGAACATAAATGAAACTGAAGTGAGAGTCACTTACCTGTTTCATTTCTTAATGCCAAGGGCACTTGGTGAACTTTGCTATACAAAATAGCGCACACGGTTAAGACAAGAAGTAACAGTAAGATCTGGTTAACTGAAACAAGAGGGAGAATGTGTTAACAATCACTATAACAGCTAATTCCCAAGTATCTGACTAAGGAAAAAACCCCCAATTCGCAACCAGTACAGGTGATAGAAAAATTTGATAACCTGTATCTGTTGTGTTTTTCTCATGTTGTTTGATCAACTTAAAAACTCGAAACATTAGAAACATAACAATAATTCTCCCTTATTAAAATAATCCCCAACAATCTGATTTTCATGGTTAATTTGCTCACTAAATCATAAGAGTCACAATATATTTGGGTTATCCGTACTAGAAAATTCACATATTTCTGAATTTAACCAGGAGCTCAGAACAGTTTTTTTCCTGGCTAGTCGGTTGTCTGTTTATACTCACTTAATGAGTTAATTCTTTTTATGTAGCCCTTCCATTCTGTTATGCTTCCCTGATGAAACTTCAGACACAGGAGAATTTTTATATCTATTTCAATGTTCAGATCCGAAGGTGTATTTGAGCAAAACCCTAAAAATTCTAGAAAAACAAACCCACCGTGCTAGTGAAACCAGGAATGTTTCAAAATATTTGAAAATACTTATTTTGACAGGGTAATTTAAATCAATAAAATCAAAGCAAGGCAAATACCTGACTGTATGTTCTGATTCATAGTTCCTAGAAGACTGTCTTGTACAAGTTTAAGTCATTCAACACAAACCAAGCATGTGCAGGTGTTGGGACAGTTCACCAAGCATAATAGGGAAGGAATACATTACCCTCATCAAAATGGGTGTTCTTTGTTTCAGACTACTTTGTTACTTTCGTACCAGCATAAAATGTATTTAAGGTGTTCAAAAGAGCAAAGGGAACAGAGTTTTGATCTATTTTAATCAAAATGGCCAACTGGCCACAACTGGGCACAAGACTAGACTGAAATTGGTAAACCAAACCTGCACTAATTTAAACAGCTGAGGCAAAAGCCCACTGGCTTCTGAGAAATTTCAGGCACATATATAAATGCAGAAGTCCATTTTCAGTCACTGACCCTTACAGCTGATGAGAACCCCAAAATTCTGGGGGTAACACCTCAATATTGAGTATGATCAGCATTTGTAGTAAACCCCATAGATTTAGGAAAAGCACCATGGAGGATATGAACAATAGGAATGCTGAAACAGCAAAAGAAAATTCCTGTTTTTCTGTCCTCCACCCCTTAACCTACCTCTGTAACCCTATAAGGCAATGTCATGTTAACCCCTTACCATTGGTCAAGCTTGGATCCTTTCCAACCCTATAAAAGAAGCATACTGTACCCCATTAGGAGAGAAAGAAGAAGAGCAGAGACCCTTCACGGACCTCCCCAAATAAAGCCATCTCCGTGGAACAGCCTGCGCCTTCTCCTTCTCCTCTCTCTCCGTCTGCTGCAGCCTCAAGCCCGGGGCACCACTACCTAGCAAGCGGAGCTGAAATCCTGAGAGCTTGCAATCACTATAGAGCTGATAATCACCATGCTTGCTAGATGGTAGCCCTGCGGCCTTGGCATGAGCGAGCTAGCCTCGGGCACCCGGTCCCTACTCAGGGACTGAGCTCCTGAGCCCTAGTGCTCTGCTTTATGATAAGGCCAAAGGAGAGGCTTTATCAAGCATTAATGTGCAGAGCTCTGTAAAATTCAGCTTCAGTGCCCTGGGCAGAATTCACATGAAAACAGCAGCTACTTGCAGTATTGGTGAGAAATTTCACAATCTCCAGTCTCATGAAGTAAAGCAGTAAGTAATTTTAAATTAATGTGAATTATGGCGGTACTTATATGACACAGTGAACAGGAAAAGACTTATCTGCATACTTAAAGTTAAGCATAATTTAGCAATACCAGAACTATAAATTTGTATGCAACTCTGAAAACGGTTGCATAAGAAATGGGATTTGATATTTCTGTCCTCTTTTAAAAAATACATCTTTCAAATGTTTTTAATCTCTCTTACCTTTCTTTAAAAGAGCCATGTGTCCTGTTGGATGAGAACTGTGATTTATGGTAAACTAAAATAAAAAATAATTAAAAGAAAAAAAAATAAAAGTGAGAAATTTCATTAATGCCAGAAGCGTATTCTTGTTAGTTATATAAAGGTCTAGGGTTTGGATTATCAAATTTTACTATGGAACTGGTAAAAGTAAAATGGCAATTAATCTCTATAAATACCTTTTGTTTTTGAACAAATACTAGCTTTATGGGTTTGAAATATTTTTATTAATAATTTAGCAACTAATAGGTTTTGAAAAACATTTTCATAAATCCCATGTGATCATCTACATCAGTAGGTGGTTTTTAGTACATTTTAAGATACTGTGCAAAGAAGTATTTAAACATCCACTAATGCAATTTATAAATATATTTATCTCTGATTTCACCTCCAACATAGTAACTATAGCAAATACTAATGTCTTGCTGGAGTATGCATTCCCAAACATATGGGAACCTTATACCAGGGCAGTGTCTTCTAGACCCTCAAAAAATTTCAGAACAATAGTGCAAATATTTTCTTACAGATGTATTCTTCCAGTGGGTGTAGTGAGCTTGTATTTATGCACATTTTTTGTGATGCTGAACAAAAGGAGGTATCCTTCCCTAAAACTGTGCTTCTAGTCCAGGCCTGAGAGCAGCCATGTCTGAGAAGACAGAACATAATCCCTAAAGTACAGGATTATGAGAAATACAACATTCATTTGAATTCTGGACCCAAAACTACTGGTTATGAAAGAAAACACAAAGCACATAACCAAAATAACAACAACCAACAGTAAAAAACAGCACCAGAAGTTGGATGGGAGAGAAAAATCCAACTGTGTGATCCAACCTTTACACTATGTAGGGATAGAACAGAAAACAATTTTTCCTGCTTCCACACCTACAGATATGGACACATTACAGCACAGATTAAGATAGGTTCTATGCACACACAAAAGTGAAGTTTATTCTAGCTCCTTGACAAATCAGACAGAACAGCAAGAATTCTTGAAATCTGAGTCACAAAACTGACCATTTCCAATTGCTTAGTGCTCAACTTCAGGCAGAATATTGAATTAGTCTTTACTTTGACCAACAAGTTAATAACAACAATAACAACAAAAATATATATATATGAAATTTAAGATGTGGCATTGTTTACAAACCACTTATATTCAAATTTATTTAAGTCAGCTAATGGCTAAATTGCAGTGAGAAAGGAGTACTCTGGAAGTTCTTCCACATCTGCACTACTTATCTACATTCCAGGAGACCATTCTCTTCATGTGGCATTAATTTACACAGAGGAAATCAAGCTTATCTGTCAGAAAAAAACACAGCTGAGAAAACCTTTCTCTCATGCATTACACATAAGTATTACTTTCTTTTACACTTAAAAACTTTACTCATTTAGGTAAGCAGAGGGACAACAGAACCTGCTATGCTCTTGGACTAATTTTCTAACCCCACTTCAGCTGATCACAATCTTCCCCTGATTTCCACGGAGCTACCTTTGAATTAGCATTTGTAACAATAGCCACAAATAATCCTGATGATCACTGCGAGATGAAAGCTGCACAGCCACAGCTTCCTGTTATCTCCAGAAACTATTAAATCCACATAAACTGAACCATGTTTTAAACTTTAAAATCCAAAGACAGACTCTCACACAAGTCTGAATTCTACAACTCCAGCATTCCTAAGCCCCTGAAACACCAATTAATTACCTACTGATTTTTAAGGAAAGAGAGGTATATTTGTTCCCCTGCAAATATTTACTCATTTACTGTAGATATTATTTCCCGGAACCTGGCAGTCCCTAACTCAGCTGCCAAATCCTATAACAAAACAAGGGGCTGCAGAAGGGCAAGCTCAAAAACAGTGACATTACTGATCAGATATTTCCTGCTTAATTAGTCTGTTTACCTCTTCAAAGCAGCACAGTATTTGGGACTCTTCTCTCCTGAAGCGCTGTGTAGTTATTTACTTGGATCCTAGATAGCCCACAGCCATAAGCACTCTTGCCAAAGCGTCCTCGACCACCATCCTCCTTTGAAGTCACCCACAAAAGGGCCTTACAGGGCACAGTAACAGTTTTACGATTTGATTCCTTTTTCAAACTCTTCAAAGTTTACTTTGGAGTTGTGCTGGTTTTCTTTCCCTTCTCTGCTGCTGAGGAATAGTGCAGAGTCCAGACGCTGCGCTGGAGGAATGAGAGCACATAAACCACTTCCAGATGTGCAGAGTGACGATACAGCCCCAGATCTCGCAAACTTGCCTCCGAGATTCAGCTAGCAGATTGCAAACAAATCCCATAAGACAAAAAGTCTTAAAGGCGTGGGGGAAAGAGAAGGAAACAAACCCTTCCAGAAGTCACTTCCAAAATCTAGCTGCAAGTTATGTTTTTAGTCATTATTTATGGTAAATGTGAACAGAAAACTAGTGTGCCAGAGCCAGACTACAACATGCCAAAGTCTAACAGAAAGCCAAATGTGGCAGTGTGTTTTATGAGTTCTATAGTTATTTCAATTGCAACAGTTAGTGTTCAATGTTAATTAAGAAAAATGGTTTGATCCTTGTACCCCCGTTTTATCCCCTCATAATGGTTTTTCCCAGTTGTTTACCCCTAAATTTTCCTGCCACTTAGTTGCCCCTCAACATGCCTGTTTCCCTGCTCCTCCCTTCCTTCCCTTGTATGGGCCTGTCAATCCAAGTTGCGCTATCCCCTTCCCTTGTCCATTGTAGTGTGTTTTTATACTTTGTAATACTTTGAAGTAGTTTTGTTTTTGTATCCCCATATTTTTCCCAAATGGTTTATCCCAGACTGTACCCACCTCCCTTTACCTGTGTAATCCCTCTTCCTTGCTGAGATCATCCCCAAACCCCCACCCTGGCTGTCAATCACTCAGCATCCCATCCCTTCCATCTAGAAGCTTCAGTCCAGGATGTCAAGTGATTAGCCAGAGGCTAGGGGTCAGCCCCCCAAGCCTTGCCCTTTTTGCTGTCCTAAATATCTATCCCCCAATATCCATCCCTTAGGGTCACTTTTTGGTTAGTAAAATGTTATCTACTTTTGGTTTCCACCTCCCTTTAAATGTAACCTTGGCACATGTCCCGGGGCTCTCAGCAGGAGGCCCCCTAAGGTGCAGGAGCTCCCCAGAGCCCCTGAATGAAACCTTGGATTAACCCCTGCTAAGAGTCAGCCCTTTACTGATGTCTCTAGGGTCTCTTCTGCTGCAAAGGCGACTAGCCTAGGTGCCCTCAGTACCCTCAGGACACAGGAGAGTATCTCCCCGCTGTCAGCCGTGTCGGGGCTGCCCCCCCCCGCACACCCCCAGTGTCAGCCAACTCAGGACTGGCCAAGGGTTCCTGAGAGACTCCCAGAGGGACAGAGACAGTCCATCAACCTAGATCCACCCCTTTTGTTCCCGAATGTTCAATGTCAATTACCCTGGTTCTAACTGTTGATTTGTCCTAGAGGCTTTTCCCCTCCCCCATGTTAATCCCATTGATCTTGTTAGATCCCATGCTCCTCCCCAAGTGTTCTCCCATTGGTTAGGTGATGCTCCCACCCCCTAAAGTAGCCTCCTTTAAAAACTCTAGCCGGACCACTATCCCCTTGTCACTCCTCCCTGGCCCATCCTCTGAATAAAGCTTCATTGGACTGCATACGAGTGTCCTCTCCTTCGTCTCTTTACCTTGGGATCCTAGTGGTATCCTGTTGCAGTGTCACCCACGCCGCTACACCCACTGCCACCTGAAAGGCCTTGGTAGAAGCTCAGGGGCAGCCTCTCTTGTGTGTCCCTCCGGTCACAGGGAGCTTGCTAGCCGGCATTCCAATGCTCTGTGACCGCAGGACAGCCACAGCTAACTGTTGGCAGAGTTCTTGAGAGTTAAAAGCTAAGGGAAACTTGCAAAAGTCAACTCTAAACATGCATTTTGACTTGAATCATCCCATTTCCTAATCTTTTAGCATTTAATCCACAGGTTTGATTTAGATTCAAAAGGATCTTGGATCAAGGTAACCAGCACATGGTGATATCCTGTCCTAAGCTCTTCTGGAATGCTTTTGCAGTTTGCTTTCTACAGCACTTCTTTTATTTGAATTCTCTCTCTCTCTTCTAGGAATGAACTTTCTAAATGATAAACCACTGTTTTGTAACAAGAATTTCATGACTACTGAAAGGAATAACAACAAACATCTTCAAATCTAAACTATTTTTTGTATTTTTATCATGAGGCAGCGCCAGATTTATGAGTAGTAGTCAATAAAAGTCTTAAAAATCTTAACTGTTTTAAATGACAATTGCTCGATTTGTGGGAGCCAAAAATGTGGGATTTCAACTATGTGCCTCAAACATGCCCAAACTGTATTATCTGTGTCTGATTTTGTACATGACTCTATCTTCTGCTTGAACAAAAATTAAATGAAGAGTTATACATACAGATATATGCTTTCTGCAGATGGCCACAACTATTAGTATTTTGTTGTGCTATTTAAGTTGTATTAAGCTCATGTTCACCAAAATCCACCCATGTTTTTTTCACCTTCCCTTCCTTTCTGTGTGAATCTGAACAGATCTAAGCAGCAGTCATATGAGCCTGCAGAACTGGGAATGGCTGCTTCACCTGGCAGAACCCTCTGGATTGCTGGCAATGCAGTAACACCTTCACAGAATCACAGAAACAGGTTGGAAAAGCATTCTGAAACCATCAAGTCCAAACTACAACCAAGCACCACCTTGTCAACTAGACCATGGCAGTAAGTGCCACATCCAGTTCTTCCTCAAATACCTCCACCACATCCCTGGGCAGCCCATTCTAATGTCTAATCACTCTTTCCATGAGGAAATTCCTCCCAATGTCCAACCTCAATTACATATCTCAGCATCATCATTTACCGTGTAGAACTGAACAATGAGAAGAGACTTTTAGCACCAGATACACCTTCTTTGGATTCCCCTCAGCATCATACGTTTATATTCTTATAAAACACTCCCCTCACACAGGAAAGAGCAGCTTCTCTCCT